CCACTAACCTTTGCAATTTTTGTGCAAGACAGGTAAACAATACCGACAAGATGAAAGTTAAGACACTTGTGCAACATCTGGTTATCTTTATTGTAGACGTTTCGCCGTCCAGTGGCTGAGTGACTGATTACCTCATCTTTTGTATATAGTTCTTCTGTTTTCTAATTATGTCCAAGAATCTGTATTGATAAAGCCACTGGATGGCAAAATGTCTACAATAAAAATAACCAGATGTTGAAGAAGTGTCTTAACTTTCATTTTGCAATTTTTCTTTAGAATCTCCCGTAAGCACAGTATCGTCAGCAAAAAGTAACTACGTCAATTCCCATTTTGTATTTGATTCCCCATAATTTAATCCCACCTCTCTCCCGAACACCCTAGCATTTACTTCTTTTAAAACCCATCTATAAATATATTAAACAATCATGGTGACATTACATATCCATGTCTAAGACGTACTCTTACCGGGAAGTAGTCTCCTTCTCTTCTACACACCCTAACCTGAGCCTCACTATCCTCATAAAAACTCTTTGCAGCATTTAGTAACTTACTACCTATTCCATATACTTGTAACATCTGCCACATTGTTCCCCTATCCACTCTATCATATGCCTTTTCTAATTCCATAAATGCAATTAAAAATTTCCCTACCTTTATCTAAATACTGTTAACATATATGCTTCAATGTAAACACTTTATCTACACATCCCCTACCCACTCTAAAACCTCCTTGCTCATCCACAATCCTACCTCTAATTCTTTCAATAATAACCCTACTGTACACTTTTCCTGGTATACTCAGTAAAGTTATTCCTCTTTAATTTTTACAATCTCTTTTGTCCCCCTTCCTTTTATATAAAGGGACTATACATGCTCTCTGCAATCACTAGGTACCTTCCCCTCTTTCATACATTTATTAAACAAAAATACCAACCATCCAACACTATATCCCTCCCTGCTTTTAACATTTCTTTCATGATCCCATCAGTTCCAGTTTCTTTAGCCCCTTTCATTCTATGTAATGCCTCACGCACCTCCCCCACACTCACATCCTGCTGTTCGTCACCCCTAAAAGATGGTATACCTCCCTTACCAGTGCATGAAATTACTGCCTCCCTTTCTTCATCGACATTTCAAAGTTCCTCAAAATATTCTCGCCACCCCTCCAATACCTCCATCTCCTCATCTACGAACTCCCCTACTCTGTGTTTAACTGACATATCCATTCGTTCCCTAGGCTTTCTTAACTTGTTTAACTGGCTCCAGAAATTTTTCTTATTTTAATTAAAATTTCTTGACAGTGCCTCTCCCACTCTATCATCTGCTCTCCTTTTGGTGTGGTGTTACTCAACACTGTCGACTACAACAATAAAGCTTTAAATCTTCTCAACGATGTCAACACATACCAGCCTGTATCAGAATCAGTGCTACTTCAAAGTACCCAGACTTTTCTTCAAAAGGCTCGTAGCATCTTACGAAAATCAGAACAAGGCAAAAAACTACTTAAACTTTTACCAGGTCAACCGAAACCAGCTCGTCTGTTTGGCCTTCCTAAGACACACAAACCTGGCATCCCACTACGGCCTGTCACTTAGGGCATAGGGAGTGCACCACACAGACTAGCCGGCCACCTTGCCAAATACCTTTCAGCGCTTCTGGGCACCATCAGTCAAGCCCACCTCAAGCACTCAGGTGACCTTCTCTCCCGAATTTCCAACCTGAATGTCAAAAACAAAAGCATGGCTTCCTTCGATGTCACAGCCCTCTTTACCAACGTTCCTACTGACGCTGCAATCAACTTTCTGAGACAGAGACTCACTGAAAACCACGACCTCCCTTTACCTCTTCTAGACTTCATCAGTCTAGTGGAACTTTGTGTTAATTTCAACTTCTTCAAGTATCAGGACAACTGTTACAAACAGTGCCTTGGGATGGCAATGGGCAGCCCGCTCAGTGCTGTGCTTGCCAACCTCTTCATGGAAAACCTGGAGACAGAGAAATTCAGCACCCTCATTCCCAACACCGTTACCTGGCTAAGATACGTTGATGATGTATTGGTTTTCTATCCGAGACGTCTCAATATCCAGGCCCTTCTCAACAAGATCAATGCAGTTGAACTCGAAAATGATGGCAAACTTCCTTTCCTCGACGTTCTACTGTGCAGATCTCCCGACAGTGACAAACTTCTCTTCAAAGTGTATAGAAAACCTACCAACAAGGACGATCTTATACACTTTTATTCACACCAAGACTCCCGCACTAAGAGAGGAGTCCTCATTGGCTTCTTCTTGAGAGCTCTTCGCATCTCCAGCCCTTGTTTTCTAGAAGAATGCACTTACATAACACAAGCCTTTACACGTCTTCAGTTCCCATCTTTCTTCATCCGAGATTGCAGACTAAGGCACAAGCTATTCTCAACAAACCCCCCATGGAACAGCCCCCTAAGCAGTTCATAGTACTCCCATGTGGTGATGTTGCCACGAATACTCGCCGGGCACTTGCTATGAGTAACATCAACGTTTCCACCATAAACACATCATCTATCAAAGACCTCACTGCGAAACGCAGCCCCACACCTCTAACTTCTACACCAGGCGTCTACACTATCCCCTGTGGGTTCTGTCCCAAGAAATATGTAGGCGAGACAGGCAGAGATCTTGTAGTCCGCTTGAATGAGCATCGAAATGCCTCTAACAGAGACGATGTAAGGTACGCCTGTGTCCTCCACAGAGACTCCACGGGACATTTGATGAACTGGAATGAGGGACAACTCGTTCTCACCGAACCAGACATCAGACGCCGACGGTGCCTAGAAGCCTCACTAATCGCCGTCACCGACACTATAGAACGCAACACTGGAAACTACAAAATTTCAAAAACATTGGCATATATGATACTTAAGCACCACCAACCCAACAACACAGGAGTCGAAGATTGAGACACTTATGCAGCATATGGGAATCTTTATTCAGGAAACGTTTCGCCACACAGTGGCTTCATCAGTCCAATACAAAGAGGAAGGCGTAAGGAGAGGAGGAGTGTGAGGTAATCAGTCCCTCAGCCTGGAGTCGATGTGTTCAGTCCATCAATCTTGTAGAATGTACAGCATAGGGCCGTAGACGTGGCTTATATACTGTAGTGAGGTGACTTGAAGCAGACGGAGGCGGGATCATAGTGGTACCATCCACTAGTCGAAGTAGGTCTTTGTCCAAAGGTTGAACAAGCGTTGAAGAATTCTTTGTAAGAAGATCCCATGATGCTGCAGTGTCTGACAGTTGTGATGAATGGTTTGAAAAACCGAGACTCGACAGGAGATGCAACATTCCCCCAGTGAAAAGAAGGGGAACCACGAGTAAACAGTCTTGGTCTCTTGACACAATAAGTGTCAGGGGCCCAAGACTGTTCAACTGGCTCCCAGCATACATAAGGGCGATTACCAATAGACCCCTGGCTGTCTTCAAGAAGGTGCTGGACAGGCACCTAAATAAGAACCTGATCAGCCGGATAGTGGTTCGCACGTCGGTTTATGTGCGGCCAGAAGTAACAGCCTGCTTGATCAGATCCTGATCCACCACGAGGTCTGGTCTCAGACCGGGCCGCGGGGGCGTTGACCCCAGAAACCCTTTTCAGGAATACCCCAGGAATAATAGATTGACATAGGTTCTGTAGACTGGTTTAAGTCCTACCTGAGCAACAGGAAACAAATTCCCAAGGTAGCATTCTGGGTTACTTACTGTTCCAATGTTATGTGAATGACATGCACATCAGTGTCAAGTGTAAGCTTGTGTTGTATGCAGTCGACGACACTGCTAATGTACTCTCACTAGAACTAGAAGAGTCCTGCAGCAGACGGTTAGTAGACTATCGTTATACCTCGTGAAAACGGAAGCCATACTCTTTGGCACGAAAAATAAACTGAAAAGGGTATATAATTTTAACGTTCATTGTAATGGGGAACCAATCACTTCAGCATTTTCAGTGAAATATCTGGGAATCCCTTTGACCAAGCATGTTAGGAGAATTGTTAGGGAACAGCGAGGTAAAGAGAGGCAGAGTGTTTACCAAATTATACATTATTCTTGCTCTAAACAAAAAACTGATAGATGGACACAAATCAGCCAGAACAAAATAGTAAGATTCATCTTGGACCTTGGACCAAGAGAGCGTGTAGACCAGGATGAATAATAATAACTGGAAATGTTGAATGTTGAAGATAGAGTAAAACAACTGAAGTTAAATCACGTTTATAAAATTGCTCACAGGCCGAGCCCAGAATATCTTAATGGGAACCAAAATAAGTATAGTACTAAGGGAAGGAAACACTATTTTGTAGTACCCACAGTTGGTAGTCAGACTTGAAACACCTTTTATTGTACAGCAATAAATGAGTGGAACGGACTGCCTGTACGTGTTACAGCTTGTCATAGCATGAGCCAGTTAAGGAAGAGAACTAAAAGGTACTTAATGAATGAAGCTACGGAAAGGGAGAAGAGTAATTTCTTGTATAGCTAACGTACATGTACCTATTACTGTGATCTGATCCTCTCTTTAATGTTAATGTAAATAGCTCAGTTTACCTCATTCCTAGTACATCACTTTCCTCAGGATATTTTAACTGTTGAAATTTAAATAAGATATTACAAGGACCCCAATGGAAATAAGTCTCTATGACTGTTTTTGGTTATCCTAGATAACCTACACATGTATGATAATTTATGTAACTGTATTTATGTGTACCTCTATCTGGATAAACTTACTTACCAAACATTGAACAAACGTGAAACTTACAGCAAAATGTTGCCAGATTGTTAAACTATTGATTTATAAGCTTAAATCTATTTTTTTTTTTAATTTTAATTTTTTTTGTACCCCGCCAGAACGCTGCTCTGGTTAACACTTAAAACCTCATTAACCATCCAACCTTACATTGAATATAGCATTTTTTCATCTATAAATTAAAAAATTTCATTGATAGAAAATCAAAAGTTACTGAGACAACATTTGATGATGCAATATTTATTGTGAATAAACTTGTTGACAATTAGCCATTAGTATGAACGTTCAAATCCTGAGGACACATGCGCGCGCACCTGCTGCTACCCTTCTGTAAATAGACAACAAAACTGTATAATGAGGGATAAAATGTTTAATAGCTTCTTTGTATGAGGAGAGTCTACGATATTGCTCTTGTCGGTGACAAATATATTCAGTGGTTTCTTTTATTTGGATCAAAAAGAATTAGAAATAGCGGAGTTAGAATACTTACTTAGAATATAACAGAGCTGATCGAGTTATTTATCTCTTGCCGACCTCTGACATTAATGTTGGGCTGCCCAGAAGGGTGTTAAGAATTTCGGAGTTTCGTTTGCTTGGTAAGTCAGCATAGAGATTCAAGGGACCATGAACTACACGCAGGATGTAGGCTGCTAATTCGGCAACCACCTGTCAACAAAAATATACCCAGGAAGGAGCATAAATATGATGAATTGTGTGTATATAATTGTGATATCTATGGTTAAGCACAATCATCAGTGATTTAACACCTATATTTAGTCTTGACATAACGTACGTCAGTGTTTATCACAAATTATGTTCCACCTCTGTTGGAGTTTCTTGACAACAACAAAGTGCTCTTTCATCACAAGCCTTTTTGACTAATATTCTGATGAATATTTTATTAATATTTAGTGGAATAGGTAAAACAATACGTGGGGAAGGAAGGTGGAAGGGATAGAATGAACAGGACTATATATATATATATATATATATATATATATATATATATATATATATATATATATATATATATATATATATATATATATATATGTCGTGTCGAATAGGCAGAACTTGCGATCTTGGCTTAAATAGCAACGCTCATCTTGCCATATAGGACAAGTGAAAATTTGTGTATGCAATAATTTCGCCAAAATCATTCTGAACCTAACGAAAAAAATATATTTCACTGTGTTTGTTTAGTATTAAATTATTGTAAACAAATCTAAAATATATTTAGTTGGGATAGGCTAAAATAAATTGGGCTTGTTATAATAAGGTTAGGTAAGTTTCCTAAGATTCTTTTGGTGCAAAATTAACAAAATTTATATTAACATTAATGAAAAAAAATATCTTTAAACGTATAAGAGAAAATTTTAGAATGGACTTAATTTTAAATGAGTTCTTGCTAATTGACCAGTTTTACATATTCAGATCAAACGTATAGCGCTAGCTACACGCCAAGGTATTGTCCAGTGTGGGTAGATTGGTAAAGCTCTGCGTACCTTCTCCCAAGGTCCGTAGGTTCGAGTCTCCTTCAGCCAGAGATCAGTATTTGTGTATATTTCGCCTGCTCTTGCGAATTCCTTGCATATATATATATATATATATATATATATATATATATATATATATATATATATATATATTTAGGTAGTAGGGTGGTAGACAGGTACTACCGTCCTGCCAAGTCAGTGCAAAACAAAAGCCTGTAATTCATTTACATGATGGTAGGATTGCTGGTGTCTTTTGTCTGTCTCATAAACATGCAAGATTTCAGGTATGTCTTGCTACTTCTACTTACACTTAATTCAAACTACACATACATGTACAAGCATATATATATACACACCCTTATGGCTTTCTTCTATTTTCTTTCTAGTTCTTGTTCTTGCTTATTTCCTCTTACCTCCATGGGGAAGTGGAACAGAATTCTTCCTCTGTAAGCCATGCGTGTTGTAAAAGGCGAATAAAATGCCGGGAGCAAGGGGCTAGTAACCCCATCTCCTGTATGAATTACTGAATTTAAAAAGAGAAACTTTCATTTTCCTTTTTGGGTCACCCTGCGTCGGTGGGATACTGCCGATTTGTTGATTATATATATATATATATATATATATATATATATATATATATATATATATATATATATATATATATATATATATATAGGGAGGTACTACCTCTAGAACTGTACTGGGGACCTTCATATATGAAATACACCTTCCCAACATGTTTCATTAAGAATACGATTTATTTGATCCCAGTTGGCCCTCGGGTTGTTAGGGATGAATTTGGTTAAGGCACCCTCGTAATTGTATACATTTTGGTGGTCAAGATCCCTGTGCATACAAATCTAAACTTGGGGTTAACCCGGTCCCAAACTTGGCTTCCTGTTTGATCACCTTATCAACCATGCCTTAATTTAGCAGGAGGTCTGTCCTGAGACTGAGCCGCAGGGGCGTTGACCTCCGGAACATCCTTCAAGTGTCCTTCAGGTAGTCAAGCACTGGCACCACAGCCCGGCTGATCAGGAACTAACTCAAGGAACTTGTCAGTTTGCGTCTGGAAGACATCTTAAGATTTTTATATGAAAGTGATGTACAGGTTACGTTATGAAGGAGAGAAAGGGAATGTGTTTCAGTAAATGTGTGCCTACGGTACGCGTGATGTCAAAGTGGTTGATTAGTGTTTATAAATGGGATTGCCATACAAAAAAAAATTTGAATGACGGAGTTTTGGGAATAGGTGTGACAGCTCCCAAGTTTACACAGTTGCTCTTTGCGAAATTCAAGAGAATAGCTGCAGAAGTTGACGAAGGGGCCTGGAGGAATGCGTGTACAAGGACATTTGAGAGTGGACACAGAAAACTTCCAGATCAACTACATTGCATCTCTCCCCCACCCACACTTTTATATCTCGCCTACAGATTTACGTATCTCCCACAACCATTCATTTTTTTCTCCACTACTATACATCTCTCCCACACACACTTATATCTCCCACACTTAAATATCTCCCACACCCGTACATTTGTATCCGTCCCACTCCCATTCTCCTAACAATTACTTGGTCCCGCACACCTTTACAAATATAGTATTATGCATAAAACAGTCTCGCAAATTATGACAACCAGTCCCAGAGGATTGCAAAGGGATTTACAAACACTGTCATCTGTGTAAGTGAATGAAGGAATGTGTATGGAGAAGTGTATGGAAACTTCAGCACACTTCTAAATGAAGGAGAATGCATGTGTTATCACAGTGTCTATAAACCTGTTGATGAGAGTGTAATGTAATGTGTGTACTTACCTATATGTACGTACCTCTATGCTGTTGCAAGGGTCTCCCCGGAGCTATTTGAATATTTTCTCATATACATTATATATATATATATATATATATATATATATATATATATATATATATATATATATATATATATATATATATATATATGCAATAAGATCACAGTAAACAGGTGATTTCAAAATATGCAAAACAACCACTCTGAAAGAATAGAGAAATTCCAAGCGCTTTCGTGACTACTCACATTATCAAGGAACTATGAAAGTGAAGCATCCAAGGAAGCTATATAAGGGGTCGGCCAGCACCTCACTATCAGATCCCACAACGGTTAAACACGTGACGCGCGGCGAGCCAACTTGGACAGGTCCTTTGCAAAACTCACCCCCAAGCTTTTTATTTGTCCAGTGTATTATTAAATTCTACCCAAATTCTATTAATTATAAATGGATCTAATTTATATAAACCAAAGGAAATATTCATATTATTGTCAAAACTGCTTTTTATGAAACAAGATTCAATTATATTCCTGTCGACCATGGACTTGCTTGATACTACTTTCTCAACTTTTTGAAAATCAATTGGATGGTTAAAATCTCTTACATGAATAAATAGAGCATTGGAATCTTGTCCAGTTCTAATGCTATATTTATGTTGTTTTAATCTTAGTTCGAGATTTTTACCAGTTTGACCGTAATAAACTTTATCGCAAATTTTACAAGGAATCTTATAGACACATCCATCAGCATTTTGGGGGGAATTCTTAATCAAAAGTTTTTTTACTGTATCAAGATTTTTGAATACAACTTTAATATTAAAAGTCTTAAGAAGAGAAGGCATATCAACCAAGTTTTCATGGTAAGGGAGAACCAACATATTTTTAGTTGAATAAGGCTGGTTGCCCTTTTTTGGATTATAAAAAGTGTTCCTAGCAACTTTAAAAGATTTATCAATTACATTTCTTGGGTATTTTAAATCATTACCTATTTCATAAATTTTGGATATTTCCTCATCTATGAACTCAGGACTACAAATTCGTAAAGCTCTCAAAAACATTGATGAGAAAACAGACAGTTTGACTCTATCTTGATGCGAGGAATAATAGTGGACATAGGAACAGTTATTTGTAGGTTTTCTGTAATTTTAAATTTTGAATTCATTATTACCCTTAATAATTAAAACATCTAGAAAAGGCAATGAGTTATTTTCTTCAAACTCAACAGTAAAGTTTATAGAATGGGCTAAGCTATTTAATTTTCCAAGAAAATGGTGTATATCTACATTTTTGGGCATAAGACACAAAATATCATCAACATATCTGAACCATTTAGCTCTATTAGGGAGGATTGTGTTAAGCAACCTTGTTTCAAAAAATTCCATGTATAGGTTACTAAGAACAGGTGAAAGAGGATTTCCCATTGCCATACCAAACTTCTGAGTGTAAAACTTATCATTAAATACAAATTTTGCATCAACAATGCAAAGTTTAATAAGTTTAATGATAGTAGGAACTGGCAATGGTAAATCATAGTTAACGAGTTCTTCTTTGACTGACTTAAATGATTTTAACATGGTTAGTTTTGATGTTACTTCCTTGTTTACGAAAGTTCCTGTTGATGATTTATTAAGTTTCTTATCTGAAGAACTCGTTAACTATGATTTACCATTGCCAGTTCCTACTATCATTAAACTTATTAAACTTTGCATTGTTGATGCAAAATTTGTATTTAATGATAAGTTTTACACTCAGAAGTTTGGTATGGCAATGGGAAATCCTCTTTCACCTGTTCTTAGTAACCTATACATGGAATTTTTTGAAACAAGGTTGCTTAACACAATCCTCCCTAATAGAGCTAAATGGTTCAGATATGTTGATGATATTTTGTGTCTTATGCCCAAAAATGTAGATATACACCATTTTCTTGGAAAATTAAATAGCTTAGCCCATTCTATAAACTTTACTGTTGAGTTTGAAGAAAATAACTCATTGCCTTTTCTAGATGTTTTAATTATTAAGGGTAATAATGAATTCAAATTTAAAATTTACAGAAAACCTACAAATAACTGTTCCTATGTCCACTATTATTCCTCGCATCAAGATAGAGTCAAACTGTCTGTTTTCTCATCAATGTTTTTGAGAGCTTTACGAATTTTTAGTCCTGAGTTCATAGATGAGGAAATATCCAAAATTTATGAAATAGGTAATGATTTAAAATACCCAAGAAATGTAATTGATAAATCTTTTAAAGTTGCTAGGAACACTTTTTATAATCCAAAAAAGGGCAACCAGCCTTATTCAACTAAAAATATGTTGGTTCTCCCTTACCATGAAAACTTGGTTGATATGCCTTCTCTTCTTAAGACTTTTAATATTAAAGTTGTATTCAAAAATCTTGATACAGTAAAAAAACTTTTGATTAAGAATTCCCCCCAAAATGCTGATGGATGTGTCTATAAGATTCCTTGTAAAATTTGCGATAAAGTTTATTACGGTCAAACTGGTAAAAATCTCGAACTAAGATTAAAACAACATAAATATAGCATTAGAACTGGACAAGATTCCAATGCTCTATTTATTCATGTAAGAGATTTTAACCATCCAATTGATTTTCAAAAAGTTGAGAAAGTAGTATCAAGCAAGTCCATGGTCGACAGGAATATAATTGAATCTTGTTTCATAAAAGCAGTTTTGACAATAATATGAATATTTCCTTTGGTTTATATAAATTAGATCCATTTATAATTAATAGAATTTGGGTAGAATTTAATAATACACTGGACAAATAAAAAGCTTGGGGGTGAGTTTTGCAAAGGACCTGTCCAAGTTGGCTCGCCGCGCGTCACGTGTTTAACCGTTGTGGATCTGATAGTGAGGTGCTGGCCGACCCCTTATATAGCTTCCTTGGATGCTTCACTTTCATAGTTCCTTGATAATGTGAGTAGTCACGAAAGCGCTTGGAATTTCTCTATTCTTTCAGAGTGGTTGTTTTGCATATATATATATATATATATATATAATATATATATATATATATATATATATATATATATGCAAAACAACCATTGTGAAAGAATAGTGAAATTCCAATTGCTTTCGTGACTTCTCACATTATCAAACCATACCCCCGGCCGGGATTGAACCCGCGGTCAGAGAGTCTCAAAACTCCAGCCCGTCGCGTTAGCCACTAGACCAGCTAGCCACAATAAGATTCGTCCAATTAGGTATATTTCTACACCACAGGAAGGTTAGCACAGGCACCACTGTGACCACAAATGCAAGTTTGTGTCATTACGATTTCGTGAGTCTTGAACTTATATATGAGAACCTTGAGTTTTCCTTGAGGTAACGTATGAGGATGTAGGTCCCCAGTAAAGTTCTAGAGGTGGTACCTCCCTATAGTACTACCTCCTCTTGTTCTCCAGGCCCCGTCATCCTCTTGTGTATATACTGGATCCATTTCCTTCGCGCTTGTGTGTGACAAGTTAATGGTCCAAGTGGGACCAAAACGTCGTCGTAAGTTTCATTCTCCAATGTGTGGGTTATTTGTGCACTGGGTATACCATTGTTTAATATATGGTATATTTTTATTCTCTTTTTAATGCTGTCAGTAGCCGAAGTGAGTGGTGTGTGGGAAGAGAACCTTCTGCTAAGTTACCCTTGTCTTGGAAGGTACTCTCATGTACCCAACACAACAGAAGATCATGTCAGTTCTTACCCAACACACCAACAAGACTCACCTCACGTTCCTGAGACTTAAGTCCCTCTGCCTGGTTGAGGATGGACAACATTTCCACCATCACCAACACTGCAACGACCACGACTCCACGCATCCTGTAACTAAAACACATAATGTATATATACTACCATAAATTACTTATTGATTTGTTCTTTAGTAAATGTTATTATTCGCAATTTAATACTCAGGTTTCATAATTTTACAGAAGCCTCATCACGGTGCTTCTTTCAGAATAGTCATATATATAAATATTCATCCACATACATTATTATTAAAAATAAGTTAGATATATTTGGAAGCTAAACTTAATCACACATATTTCATATTCTTATACATTGTACGCACTTATTAAATATATCGTAATGAAACAAAATATCTTAAAACATTTAACTAATATTATGAAAACATAAGAACATAAAAATGAGCACTGCAGCAGGTCTACTGGCCCAAGCTAAGCACGACCACCAACCAAGGCACACACACACACAACACACACACACACACACACACACACACACACACACACACACACACACACACACACACACACACACACACACAGCAACGCGCGCGCGCGCGTAAGTGAACTAGGTACCTCAAAGGCGATGGGACCGGATAACTTCTCTCCGTGGGTCCTGAGAGAGGGAACAGAAGCACTCTGAGTACCACTTCAAAAACTTCAAAAAATCTATAGAAACACGACAGCTCCTTGCATTAAACTACAGACCAGTATCCCAGACATGCATAGTATGCAAAGTCATGGAGAAGATTATCAAGAGAGGAGTGGTGGAGCACCTAGAAAGAAATGAGCTTATCAACGACAACCAACACGGATTCAGGGACGGGAAATCCTGTGTCATAAACCTGCTGGACTTCTATGACAAGGTGACAGCAGTAACACAAGAGAGAGAGAGAGAGAGAGAGAGAGAGAGAGAGAGAGAGAGAGAGAGAGAGAGAGAGAGAGAGAGAGAGAGAGAGAGAGAGAGAGAGAGGTAGGTAGGTTGAATTTTCTTGGATTGTAAGAAAGTTTTTAACACGGTTCTACACAAGAGATTAGTGTAAAAGCTGGAGGACCAGGAAGGTACAACAGGGAGGGCACTGCAATGGATCAGAGAATACCTGACAGGAAGGCAACAGTGAGTCTTGGTACATGACAAGGTGTCGGAGTCGGCGATTGTGACGAGCGGTGTTCCACGGGGTCAGTCCTAGGGCCGGTGCTGTTTCTGGTATATATGAATGACATGACGGAAGGAGTAGACTGCAGACGATGTCAAGTAATTAAGGAGAATTCAATCGGTGGGGGACCAGGCAGGACTACAAATGGCTCCTGGAGTTCAACCCTGCCAAGTGCAAAGTCATGATAGTCGGGGAAAGACAAAGAAGACCGCAGACAGAATACAGACTAGGTGGCCAAAGACTACAAACCTCACTCAAGGAAAAGGATCTTGGGGTGAATATAAAAAGAACACATCCTCTGAGGCGCACATCTGGCGACTAGGAAACCTAAGAATAGCTTTCCGACATTTCAGTAAGGAGTCGTTCAGGACTCTGTACAACGTGTACTTCAGGCCCATATTAGGGTATGCAGCACCAGTTTGGAACCCACACCTGGCTAAGCACGTCAAGAAGCTAGAGGAAGTGCAGAGGTTTGCAACGAGATTAGTCCCGGAGTTAAAGGGCATGTCCTACGAGGAAACGTTAAGGGAAATCCACCTGACTACACTGGAGGACAGGGGGGACATGATAACAACATATAAAATACTAAGGGGAATCGACATAGTGAACAGGATCAGGAAGTTTCAGAGATGGAACACTCGAATAAGGGGTCACAATTAGAAGTTGAAGATTCATATGAGTCACATTGATATTAGGAAGTATTTCTTTAGTCACAGAGTTATCAGGAAGTGAAATAGTATGACAAGGAAGGTGGTGGAGGCAGGATCCGTACACAGCTTTAAGAAGAGTTATGATAAAGCTCACAGAGCAGGGAGTGACCTAGTAGCGACCAGTGAAGAGGCGAGATCAGGAGCTATGACTCGACCCCTGCAACCACAATTACGTGAGCACACACATATGCACACACACACACACACACACACACACACAAACTCACTCACAAACACACATATAACTGACTCACGAAATCGTAATGACACGATTATATGCAATCCATACCACAGGAACGAAAGAACCCGCCGGTTAAAGGAATAATTTATATATATATATATATATATATATATATATATATATATATATATATATATATTATATATACATATATATATATATATATATATGAGCAGCACTGAAGCTTCCCTGATGCTGGAACTGATAATATTCTGGAACTTAATCAGATTGAAGGAAGGAAATTTTATAACAATTCTGAAGCAGCATTTACAAATGCTGGCAACTTTTTTAATTAACTAATTACAGAACTGGTGTATTCCTTTGCTAGTAGAGGAGCTAATATTATTAATGATATCTCCCAGTCGTCAGAGGCGATATTACAAAAGCTTAGAAAATTAGAGAAATAGAAACGACATTTTTGTTACTTTTCCCAAGTTGAAAGAGATTAGGAATTAACATCAAACAGACAGGAGAACGGAAATTATTCGACTTTTCAGTGTGGACTTGGACCATTATTTGCCACAGGGAAACAACCATTAAATTGATAATTAATGATAATATATTCACCGCGAATCGTATTTAAGTCCAAGATGAGTTCTTTCCCAGATGGTGGCCCGTCCGTGACCGTTACATGTTGGGTACATTGTGTATGTGTGTGCGGGTGTGTGTGTGTGTGTGTGTGTGTGTGTGTGTGTGTGTGTGTGTGTGTTGTGTGTGTTGGGGGTGTGTGTGTGTGTGTGTGTGCGTGTGTGTGTGTGTGTGTGTATGTATGTTGTTATGTTTGTGTGCGGCGTGTGTACTTCGCCTACTTGTACTCACCTTGTTGAGGTTGCGGGGGTTTGGTCGATGAAGTTTGTCCGAGCTCTGCCCCGACTTCTTCTCTGATCGCAAATAGTCATCTCCCGTGAGCCGTGAGTGAGCTTTATTCATACCTTGCTTTCTTAAAGCTATGTATGGAATCCTGCCTCCACTCATCGCCTTCCCAAACTATCCACTTTACTGACTACTCTGTGGCTGAAGAAATACTTCCTACATCCCTGTTGATTCATCTGTGTCTTTAGTTCCAACTGTGTCCCTTGTTTACTGTGTCCAATTCTCTGGAACATCCTGTCTTTGTCCACCTTGTTCAATTGCCCTCAGTATTTTGTATGTCGTTATCATGTCCCCCTATCTCTCCCTGTCCTCCAGTGTCGTCAGGTTGTTTTGAATGATTTCCCTTAACTCTCCTCGTTAGGACATACCTCTTAAGCTCTGGGACTAGTCTTGTTGCCAAAACCTTTGCACTTTCTCTAGTTTTCTTTACGTGCTTGGCTAGGTGTGGTTCCAACTGTGGCCCGCATACTCCAATATGGGCCTAAGTATACGGTGTACAGGGTCCTGAACGATTCCTTATTAGATGTCGGAATGCTGTTCGAGGATTTTGCTAGGCGCCGACCTTATGCTGCAGCAGTTATTTGCGTTGATGTGCGCTTCAGGGGGAGATTGGTGCCTGGTGTTATACTACCCCAAGATCTTTTTCCTTGAGTGAGGTTTGTTAGTGTCTCTGACCCCACTAGGCTGTACTCCGTCTGCGGCACTTCTTTGCCCTTCCCCAATCTTCATGCTTTGCACTTGGTGGGATTTGAACTCCAGGAGCCACAATTGCTGGACAGGTCGTGCAGCCTGTCCAGATCCCTTTGTAGTTCTGCCTTGGTATTCGGATTCGAGTGTATTCTTCTCCTCAACTTTCACGTCATCTGCAAACAGGGACACCTCAGAGTTCTATTCTTCTCATGTCGTTCACAAATACTCAAGGGACAGGCACTGGTCCTAGGATGACCCCTCGGGACCCCGCCTGGTCACAGGTGCCCACTCTGACACTCGCCACGTACCAATGACTCGCTGCTGTCTTCCTGACAAGTATTCCCTGATCCATTGTAGTGCACCATTCCTGTTATCCCGCTTGGTCCTCCAGTTTTTGCACCAATCTCTTGTGGGAACTGTGTCAAACGACCTTCTTGCAGTCTCCAAGTAAATGCAATCCACACACCCCTCTCCTCTTTGCTTACTGCTGTCTCCATGTCATAGAACTCAGCTAGGATTGTGAACACAGGATTTCCCGTCCCTGAAAACCTGCTGGCTGTGTTGATGAGATCGTTTCCTTTCTAGGGTGTTCCACCCATTCTTTCCTGATAATCTTCTCCATGATTTTGCTACTATACATGTTGTGACACTGGTCTGTTAGTTTAGTGCTTCATGTCTGTCTCCTTTTTTAAAGATTGGGACTACATTTGACTGGTCTTCTTGACTCAGCCAATCTCACTGTTTCGATCGATGTATTGAATTTGTTGTTAGGGTACACATTAGCGCATCTGCTTCCTCCTTCAATCCCCATGGGGAGATGTTATCTGGCCCCATTGCCTTTGAGTTTCTAGCTCACTCAGAAGCCTTTTCACTTCTTCCTCGGTTGTGTTGCACTGTGTAGAGTTGTGTTATGTGTGTGTGTACTAACTAGTTTTACTCACCTGTTTTGAGTTTCGTGGGTCGATCGAGTCCTTGACCCCCGCCTCTCACTGGTCGCACTAGGACCCTCCTCCGTGAAACCGTTGCGCTTTATATTCCTCTCTGCTTAAAGTAAGTATGGATCCTGCTTCCACTACATCGTTCCCAAACTATTAACTCTTACTGAACTACTTCTGTGACTGAAGGCAATCTTCCTAAATCCCTGTGATTCATCTGTGTCTTCTAACTTCACAACTGTGATCCCCTTGTTACTTGGTCCAATCTCTGGCCACACACTCATGTCTTTGTCCCACATTGTCCAAAACCCTCTCAGTGTTTTGTATGTCGTTATCATGTCCCCCTTCCTATCTCTCATGTCCTCAGTGTGTCAGGTTAGATCGTTGATTTCCCTTTAACCTTTCCTCGTAGGACATTATCTTAGCCTCTGGGACAGTCTTGTTGCAACCTTTGCACTTTCTCTATTTTCTTTACG